CATCCACCGCTCGCACTCGCGCTCGCGCCAGCTGCTCTCGCTGCCGGCCTCGCCGCTGCGCCCGCACAAGCCCGCATCCGCCTGGCCCTTCGCCGCGCCCAAGCCGCGCGCGAGACCCCTCGCCCTGTCGCGCGCCCGCCTCCTGCGCGCCGCAGTCCTCGCCGCCGCCGCCGCCCTCATCCTCGCCCTGCTCCGCGCCGCCGCATCCTTCCCCGACTTCCACCCGCACATGCACTACATCCCCCGCCCGCACAACCGCCGCCCCCGCCCAAACCTCAACCGCTCCGACGCTCACGCCGACCGCCGGAAACTCCCGCCGGAACAGCTTCCGCTGCACGCAGCCTCCCCATTCAACCGTACGCTCAGCGACCCGCCCCGCCCTACCCACACTTCCAATCTCAATCTCACCCACCAGGAGACACAAGCCTCGCGTAGAGATGATCTTGGCGCTGACCAAGTGCACCCCTCCTCCAAGGACCACCCCGCGGCTTCCGCAATCTCCATTCAGGAACGCCACCCCCCGCCTCCAGCACCACCACTACATCAGACACCAATTTCCCCGCCATCCTCGGAAACCCAGACCCGCGATACCCTCGACAGGGAAGCGCAACAGGGCAGCCAGCTGGGCAACCGCGACCCGGCTGATTTCGCCTCCTTCACCCTCAACACATCCCTCAACTACTTCCACCTGCACAAGACAGGCGGCGTCTCTTTCAAGGAGCGCCTCTTCGACTTCTTCATAGTCAGCGGGAGGCTGAAAAGAAACGGCCGTCCCACGCGCATCATCGACACCTGCCACATGTCCGGCGCAGCGCGCCCGGCGCTCGGCAGCGAGGCCAAGTGGTCGTGCGACTGGGGCGAGATTCAGGAGATGGCGGAGGAGGACCGCAACAAGATCGACGTCGTCGTGGGCCACCAGTACTGGGAACGCGGCGTGGGGTACTGGATTCCGAACCGCGATGTCAGGCATTTCACCGTCATGAGGCACCCTTTGCATCGCAAGGTGTCCTTCTTTTATCACTTCTTTGTGAGGAACGCCGGCCGGTCGGAAGATTCCGTCACGGAGAAGGAGCTGATTCAGTTTATTCTTGGGAAGGACATGCCTGACTCTGAGTTGATTCGCGACGCGGGGCCGGGCTACTATGCGAGCCGGCTTTGGTCAGATGGACTTTCTGGATATGGATATGATAACAAATTCAAGATTCCTGGGGAGGAGGTGGGGACCATGGTACAGAATTCTTTGCGGCGCCTTCGACGCAACTTTGTATTTATAGGATTGCAAACTCAAGAACCTGCCTCGCTATGTATGTTGCAAAAGACTGTCGCGGCCTTTACCAAGGCGCATGGTTTTAAAAACGTGGGTGGGCTTGAAGACATTTCCAAGCAAAGAGAAAGGCGCAACACTGGATCGTATCCGTTGTCGGGGAAAATGTTATGGAATGGGATGTCTGAAGACCAGAAAAACGAATTCCGGAGAATAGAACAAGTAGACTTGGCCATCTATAAGGAGAGCGTCAAGATGTTTCATGAAATGGCTAGAAAGTTTGAATGCAGCGATCTGATTACAGATAGCAAGGATGTAGATGATATCGCATTGTAGGTATATATGCAGTGTACGTATACTGTACGGCATTGTAGGTATGAGTGGTAAAAGGAGCAAATTCCTTCCCTCAAAAGCATGGCGTCCCCTTTCTACGGAATTAACTGAGATATGTGCTAAAGCATGCTTGTTCTTTAACGAGATTAAATTGTCATAAGAAGGAGTCATCAACTTTAATTCAAGCCACAAATTCAGATGTGAAAACATTATCTCATACCGTAGAAAGCGGATGTATCCTTTTCCATGGGCCTGGTCATTTGCGGTATTTCGCTGCGGAAAACATCTCGCAAAATACACGGTCATTGGCGCTGCAGCTCATATCAGAGATTTGCAAAGCCTTCCGACGAAGAAACTAATCACAACCTGAACGATAAACGGAACGTAATGAATGATGCACATTTCCGATCATTGTCACCACTTGTTGTACATTACTCGGTGTATTGCACTGTGTTTTTTGATGACCATGAGATTACTTGGCTTGAGACGATATTTACGATGAGGATAGATGTTCAAATGGCAAATGTATCGCTGCCAACTTAGCGCACAAACACCTCGATCTAGGCAAGATCGAATAGCTTTCAGATCCCCGTCTAGCACGGTAATTTTTTCTTGTATCCAAAATTATTGTCTATCCGACCGGGGGGCTTGTCCTCATATGAGGACAGCTCTTTTTTTTACAAAAATATATAAATTAAATTGAACATTCAAAAAGCTACCTTGAGCACTATTTCCTTAACGTGCTTGTTTTCGGCAATAGCATCTTGCAGAACACCAGGATAGAAGCTTTGAATACGCAGAAAGCTTAAGAATGTAATGCAGGTTGTGTACTAAGTTGCTTTTTTAAACTGGCGTTTTTGGTTTCGAAGATATTTTCATGCGGTTTTGGGTGGTTTAAAAAAGCTTCTTTTCCAGACATATATAGAAACAACCAGGAAGAACAAGCAATTCTCACAAAGTTCTTTCTGGCCCCAAGTCAGAAGTCAACTACGGCGGCAGGGGCATATATATTTTTCTTGTCGAGGAAGCGGAAGTCATGAATAAAATAGCTCGAATAATGTCCTCATATGAGGACAATGGTCCGATAGACACTAGGCGGCATTGAACGTCCAATCTCTCAAATCTACAAGCCGACCATTCAAACATACGGTAAAACTTTTCTGACGATGTTGTAAAGAAGGCAGGCATTTATTACCTGAGTCATGCTATCTCCTTCCTCAGTAAATAGAAAGGCCCGCTATGTGAGGGTTGACGCTTGGGTACAAAAAGCACAGTTAAGTACTCGTTGGACGAGACTATAAAAAGTAAGGGATGCCTTCTGGTGGCTTGCTGAGCAGCACACCTACATTGACCGTGTTGCCCCATTGCTGGACTTTCAGGCCGGCTCGAAGATACTTCGAGCCGGGGCTCACCATGTATCATGCGCTCAGGGCGAATATGCATTCCCAGTGATTCAATGTACTGTAATGTCTGCTACTGCTAAGGTTTTCGATTTGAAGTCTTGTGCTTCATGCATTTCCAACACTTTCCCCGGGACGAGTGGGCTACAGTGCTAGAGGGAGAGTCATAGAATGACTTGTCTTAAATGCAGTTCTGGACCTCAAGAATACCCATGTTTAATCCCGCGGGTTTAATCATATAGTACAGTGTGTGTGTGCAAAAAAGATTACTTCACATGCTGTGGCGTCTCAGAGAAACGGTACGCGATGCATTGCACCTATACGTTAGCCTTGGTGGCGGAACACCACTATTTTGATGTGGCACCCCGTTGGCGTACACATACCCGCGAGCGTTATTAAACTCGTTTATTGAATAGCGGAGAAGAAAGCTCCCATATTCTCGGAAATACATTACCTCGTCTTTCTTCGTAGTTACGGTACCTAGAATTTCTGAGCGGAAACTTTCTCGCGTGCACTGAATGTAGTGGCCTTGTGCTAAGCATAAGCAGTGGTGCAGAGAGAGCGAGAGAGAGAGACAGTGTGGTGTACATACTAAACAATTGTATTCACACGTAGAAAATGAATAGGATGATGGCAGGGTGCAGACGCATACCGATGCACCCTGTCCCCTGTGCTGTGCATTGTACATGTGTATTGCATCCTGGTACTGTAATACTGTAGTACTACAGTATAATTCTATTGACGTTAGTGTTATTACGGTATCGGTCGGGACTAGGTACCGACCGATACCGTAATAACACTAAAGTGGTACCTTCTATATATCGCACCCTTTCCACAACGCTTCAAAGTGCGATATATCCGATACTGTAGTGCGATGTAGCAAGTACTCTCGAAAAAGATATTTTTTTGTTATGTTGAGGCAATGACGTGGACGTGGGCAGAACTACTCAGCCGCCGTCGCCATAAGCCAAAGTTGGAGGTACTGTGCGGGTCGCTTGTACAGTACGGCCTCTACTAGGGGCTTCTAGAGCGACACGTGTGTAATGTCATACACGTGGCTGATTTCGTGTCAAGCCCGAAACAGTGCGATATATCCGGTAATGCGCTATTCAAAAGTGCGATATAGAGCTACCCCCCCCTGTACTAATGAACCGGTTACAGTATGCAGTACCAACTCTGGGCACATGGCTGAAAATTGCGCATGTGTGTCCTGCGTGGAATGGTACAAACTCGCAGAGTGTAGTTGAAGTAACCATCATGCACAAATGTATTCAGGGCACTGTTTTGAAGGAAGTTCTGTCCGTTATTAACAACGATACGTATGATTCATAGACTGCTTCCTTGTGTTCTTCTTTCGCTGCAAAGTATCGATAAAGGGTCGTTTCGTTTTGCAAAAGATCAATGGGCTCGCCGCTCAAACCATCAAAAGAAGAGAGCTTCGCCGGAGACATGTCGATATTGAAATCGTGTTGAAACGCAGCACCAAACGGGAAGCCCTGAAATAGAAAGGGCTGATATCATTTTCATGGCATCTAGGCGGGGCGGGGCACCGGAAGCTCGCGCTTCTCTAACGAAGTCACCCTGCTGCGCTCTGCGCTCAAAGGCTAATAGAAACTGTTATTCTGGTTTATTAACGATATCTTGAGTTTTCGCTAATAATATGTACAGTTTTCGGTGAAGTGTATGAGTGCAGCATATGAATGGCCGCGTCAGTAACACGGTAGCCCTGGAAAGGATAGGCGAAGCACACTCGAGTTTAGGGCAAGTGTGAATTGCGTCTTCTCCCCCCCTTTTTCCCCGCAGCGCCCGTCACCCTCTCTCTTTTATTTCTACGAAATTCCTTCCAGAAGCGTCCACGCGTCCGGCCCGGATTCCGCCGGGCCGTACGCGTGCGCTTCTCTAAAATTCAAATAAAATCTCGGACTACAGTATAAATCTCCCTCTACAGTAAAAATGCAATTTTCCCTAAAAATATCCCACAGGTACATTGGCACTTGTTGCGCTGCAGTGGAGAAAGGGTGTTGCCCCTCCCCTGCGATGAGCGGCAAGCATGTACAGTATCCTGGGGAGCTGTCGACAGCTCCCCAGGATACGGGGGGGGGGACGTGCGCGACATCGTGCACGTCCCAGAAAAGCCGTTGGCAAGAAGAATGTGCGGCGCGCAAGAACATAGGCTGCTATTTGCAGCTCCTGGGAGCAGTTGGGACCAACTGCTTTTGTTGACAGAGGCGGACGCAATGCACCTCCGAAGCGAGGGACAGTGCCGTGGTGAAGCCTACTGGAAAAAGAAACAATCAAGGTCACCTTCGTCCGAACCCAAGTCAGTACTGTATATGTATATGTATAGTGTTTATATTTTATAGTATTTTATAAAATCTACTGTACAGTATGGGTATTTGGTTCAACCCGGTAAAGCCTCATTCCTACACGCTACTTTACTGTATGACACTATTGTCTTGGAGACGACAAGTGATTTGCCCCATATGAGGCCAGCCTTTTTTTTGCAAAAAAAACATTAAATCGAAACTTAAAAAGTCTTTTACGTACATGCCCTCGGCAATAACATGCTGTAAATGTAAGACAGCGGGATAGACTAAAATTCCAATCAACTTTAACAATACTCTACCCCGATGACATACAGTATTAGAGTAAACAGGCGTGTTGCTTTCGAACATATCAACACATAACGTTTTGAGGTTGGTCAACTAGGTTTCTTTCTTAGGCTTCTTTCTTAGGCTTCTTTCTTAGGCATTCTACACGTACAGTACAATGCCAAACTCCATCCTTCCGCATCCCACAACTTGTGCGTTGCGGAAGGATAGAGTTTTGGAGACTTGTGCGGCACAAGACAATGCCGAGCAAGCACAAGGCGAGAAAAATAAAAGTTAAAAAGTAGCCTAGCCTAATACCACGTCAAACGGCGACGTCAAACCGCCCCTACTAAGTGCCCCTCGAGTCTCCCAGCCCGAATAAACCCGCCGCTCCCCGATTTTCACCTGTCGTTTGCAGCAAGGGAGCGAAGCCCGCGCCGCCGTGCGCCCGCTCAGAACGCACTCCACGCCACGGCGCGGCGCGGTGCGGCACCTGTCCCACGACGACGCCCGCGCTCCTCCTCCCGCGCCTGAACATATTTTACATCTCGAGTGCACGCCCGCATTAAAACGCCGTGCGCCTCGTTTGTTTAACTTAATGTGTACCTTACATATACCTTACATCTTTATTTACAACAGAGCTAAGGCCCGCCTCCGCTGCGTTGACAGTGAGAGGGACGTGCTGCACGCGGTGCTGCACGCGCTCACGAGCGTTCAGAAGCGCGGCGCGCGTGCGGGCGGCGTCGTGCACGTACTTTGTGGCGTGTGATTGTTGGCGCGCCCGCGGCAGGTGCCTGCGGTGCGGCAGCGCGCGTCGGTGAGCGTTTTTTTTTGTTTTTGTTTTGTTTGGAACGCGCCTGCATGTTGGTACGCAGTTCCACCGCCTGGTGGAATCCGTGGTTTCGTATCTGTGTGGGAATGCCGGGCGCGCGCGTCCTGGGCCTGCGTGCGCATCGCTGAGGAGTTGCAGGGGGTTTGCCCGCGAAGAGCTTGTCCAGATGCTTAGTCCGGATGCGGAACGGCTCGCGAGCGCTTGCCTGGTCTTGCGTTGAAGCAAAACGGACGCACGCTTTTGGCCTAGGCTTCAACCATGGAAAAAAGGTTATGTGACCGAGCGCTTTCGCGACGCCAGCAGCAGCGTCTTCTTTACCTTGTAGCTTGATGGGTATTGGTGGTTTTACTTGTCTAGAGAGAGAAAAGCTAGTAAAGCATACTCTTGTGCAACTTACGCTATAATCAATATTGAACAACAGCGGGCTCTTGGCTGATGTCCAAAGCGGCACGCATGCGCAAGCACCGAAGCCGAACGGAGGGCCATGCGATGGACAAAATAATGCACTTTCACCGCTACACACACACACACGGCCTTTGCGGGCGGTGAAAAAACCAAGTCATGGGCGGGAGGGGAAGGGGGTGGGGGGGTGGGGGGTCTCATGACGGCCGAGTGCTGACGGTGGATCTAGTGGGAGCGGTGCTGGAAGGGGCGAGGTCGCGCTTGGCAAGTGCGATCATGTACCTAAAGATCCTCTGCGCGACGTTAGTAGTACCATCGGTGGCCGACAAATCCAGTCCGGCAAGGTTGACGGTATCGCCCTGACTCTCCGCAAAACTAGACGCGAAGTGCCGTAAGCGTGCGGCATCGTCGGCGTCAAACTCAATATCAGCGTACGTGCTCGGTGTGATCGCCTTGTCCTCAAGCGGGGGGTCGTCCACATGCAGACGCTCGAAGGTGCTATCCTCCTCCGACCGGCCAAGCCAGCTGACGGTGAAGCTGGTCTGGCTCTCACTGAGCTTCCTGCGCGCGTTAATCTTGGCAACTTCTGCGACGGACAGGACGCTGCTGCTCGCGAACCTACTGCTGGGGAACCTGTCGTCGCCCAGGCGGAGCGTGGCCAAGCTGTCGTCGCCATCGGGAAACAGGTGATCGTTGCGCTTGAGCACGGAGAGGACCTTGTCGTTAACCTTGAACGTGGGCTGCGGGGGGGAGCGCCTGCGGCGACTCTGAGCGGAGGTGTCTGGCGGGGAGTCCTGTTCCGCGTGGGGCCTCTTGCGCTGCCTCTTCGCGGCGGCCTCGACGTGGTCGAGCAGGCCGAGTGTGTCGGCGACGTCTGCGGGCTGCATGCGTGCGTGGGGCTGCACGGCGTGCAGGCGGCGCGAGCG